CCTATGGCGAAATGCCCGCTTATATAGCCAGATGGCCCCACCCATTCTGGCGGGCTTTGTCGCCATAAGCTCGTACAGCTCCATTGCCGAGCCATTGGTTCGTTTTTTATTTACTGCATGAACCAATGGCCGTGCAGTTACACTGCGTGATTGTAAAGGCTTCAGTCCTCGGCGAAAAAAGAGGTTCTTCCCATAAGCATCTAGCGACACAGTACTCGTTCCCGTATCTCAGGGAACCGAGGTTACATAAGTAACAGAGTACGTTTTATTATAAAAAACAAAAACAGGGGCAAGTCTGATATTCTGACAAATTTCCAAATTAAACTGCAGTTTCACAAAAATTGTTAATGCAACCCTCTACATTGCGAGTAAATCACTCGCATATGTGACTAAATCTTACTCTAGGCAACTAAATCATGTCTAATATTAGCCAATGGCTAATAAATTTTCAATTGCCAAGGTGTCCGTAGAGGGCTGTAATGATTAGAAACTGTTTCCAAAACTGCTACATTTTCTACATTTTATGATGTCCAAACTGCACTGAATACATGGTAAGCTGGCCCATATTGCAAAAAGTTACTTTGCTACATCTGTCACAACAGTGCCATGTAAAAGACTTCTATTTGGCAGGCTACATTGTGCAGTAGAAGAGGTCATCTGAAACTGTGAACAAGCTAGTCTGCCTGAGCAACTGGTTGAAAGAAAAGTAGACTGTGTAACTGGTTTACAATGTTGCACAGATGCACACTGCTTCAAGTAATCGTCTCCAACCAATAAAGTAGAGACTGTTCCCTCGGTCTCTTCACAGACATTATGGAATCCCATTCCTATCACAGACCTGCTTATTGCTGCATTCATTTGAATCGATGTTACTAATTAGAGTTGATATTACTATTTTACTTACTAATGTTACTAACAAACAGTTTACAGGTAAGTTACTTATGACTTTGTAGCAGACATTACTTTGCATCATTTGTTGGTATCTGCTAGATATGTCTGCAGTTCATATGTTCATATGTTCCCTGTCAATGTAAAATGCTCCCTAGTACTTTTGCACTCAACGATTTCAGAGATTGCTCTTGAATACTTGTTAAATAAATGCTCATGATTTAGATAAACCTGAACAATCTGTTTCCTTAAACCAGTTTGTATGCATTTCTTTATTTTAACACTGTACGTTTACAACTAAGTCCTAGCATTCAAAACAAGATCAATGGTGTATGCTTAATTTCACAATAAGGGTGCGATTAATTGTGATTAAATCACAAAACAGGGTGCAATTAATCGCAATTACAAGTTTTAATCAATTGACAACATTAATATTTACATAGTTTAATGCAGCTCAAAAGTATATGATGCTATAAGATTAATGTTTTAAATATATAAATCTGAATAAACAGTCAGGTCCGGAAGTATTCGGGCTCCAGACGACAGGCAGTCACTGACTGCAAATGATTTTCATCCTAGTATTAAAAATGTGCTTATATTTACAATTATGTCACTTTGTCCAAATACTATTGAGCCCCTGAAAATGGAGGTATTTTGCTTAAAGGCACAATATGTAATTTTCGGCGCTGGAGGGCGCATATTCAAAATAAATAAAGAAGCAAAGGCGTAGTTTGATGACGGCGTGACTGAGTGTGGAATCATGGGAGATGTGGCCTTCATCCCCAGAGCCGATGCAATCCGACGGGACTCGGGCAGAAATCATGTTCATGGATGAGCTAATGATTTATTAACGTAGTAGAATGAAGCAGGGTGAGGCTGAGAGCCGTCGAAGTGAAACGAGGCGCTGAACGAGCGCGACACACGGCTCGATTGCTATCATTTAAAACATATTACAAAAATTCTAACTGTTTTTGTTTTTTAATGTGTAAATGTGCCTTACAAATAAACTGAATGAATCACACAAAAAGGTGACAAACTGCATTTCTTTCTCAAAAGGAGAACAATTTTGTCAGTCTTATTTCCTTTTAAATGTCATTATTTCAAGGAGCAAAGACGTTTTGATTAGTATGCCTGGAAAGAAAGTAATGTTTACATAGGGCTGGACGATATAGCTAAAAAATGTATCAACGATATAATGTTTCATATCGTTCGGTATCGATAATTATTGACATTTTTTATAACCTTTTTTAAAACAAAGAGCAATAGAAAAAATGTTTTAAATTTAACCACTGTATTTTTAAATTAACCCAATTTATTGAGACAAACAACAAATATTTTTTGTTTTAACAGTCAAACACACAATAAAAATTAAACAAATATCTAATTTCTGATGTTTTATATGCAGATTAAATCGGTCTGAAGGAAACTTTTGGCTTGTCTCCCGAAGCCACAGGAGGGCGCACTGAGCAAAATAATAGCGCATTTAAATTGTCAACGCAAGGAAATAAATGTCTATTAAAAAACCTGCATTACGTCTAAATGAACTCATACGTATAAATCAAATATAATTTCGTAAATTGCATAAACAATTATGAACAAAACAGCATCATGTATTTATGCATTGCTTAATCCAAAGAGCCGAAGTGCCATTCACACAGACTGCATATAAAAACATACGAGACGCAGTGAAAAGGAATAAACCTCCACAAATTCGCGACGTGTTTTCTAAAAGTTTAAACTGTTTTAACTTTGCGCATTGAGCTTCTATATTTCTCTAATATTTTGAATGAATAATTAATTATTTTTCCCAATTTATGTGCTGATGTCATTAATTTTGTCATGAGAGAAAGAAAATGCACTGACTTATAATTTTTCCTCCCATCTAATATTTTTCCACCACCATGTTCCTTTAATGGCTCAGTAAAACAGATATAAAGAAATGAAGGACTAATGAAACCTGTTTGTTCCTCAGGATCTTCATGTTTGACTTCATTCTCCACGTCTTCACTCTCCTCTGTAATAAACGCCATCTTTGTTTGTTGTTCTTCAGGATCTTCATGTTTGACAGTAAAAGCTTCTTCAATCTTCACGTCTTCACTCTCCTCTTTAATAAACTCCATCTTTATAACAGTGTGTTGCTTCACCAGGAGTTTTTCTGCGTGTTTGAACACTTTGTCCTGTTTAAGATGAGAAAAATGAACAGACACGTCTCAGTCAGCTCCCTAGTTCAGTAGTCAGCTCCCTAGTTCAGTAGTCAGCGCACTAGTTCAGTAGTCAGCGCACTAGTAAGGGAGTTAAGAGTCAGAGTTAATGAGCTGATTAGACAATAACACTCAAAACTAGCACTGCAAATTAATAAACGAACACAGATCATACAGACAATTAATATTTAGGCATTTATGATTTACATTTGGCATGTATTGATTTGTGGATTATATTTAATTGATTACATTTTGATGAAAACTTTTGTCAGCTGATTTGTAGAAGTAGTCATAGCATGTTTGTGTTGTTATTCTTGTTGCCTTTAGATGCTGTAATTCGAGTTCTTATCAACAATGAATCGTTTGATTTGGTTTTAAAAAGCTCAGTTTCTCTATCATTTCTCTGTCAAACTGTAAGAACAGGTTGTATTGGTTTATACACTTTAAACGATTCAAAACCCAAACCTTTTTTTCCCAACAGAATCGCAGCAGCGCAGCCTTATGACGTCATACTGCCACGCCAAAATAAAAGTCCCGTTCAAACAAAATAGAAATGCACATACAGAAAACACATTCAAATGATCGGATAAAGGATTGCTACAGAGGGTAAATAACAGATTCCCAAAGTTATTAATACCACTGTACTGTTTTCAAAATATAATTATAGCAACTACTGAGCATTTGTGATATTCTCGATCATAAATAAAGTCCAGTATCTCGATCTTTATATTGCAAATGTTTGGAAAGAACTGTTGAATATTTCAAACTCAATGTGGTTGCAGAAAGATCTACTAACTAAAATTGAATACTTACCATGATTTATAAATCTTATTTCATCTCAGTTTTTCCACAGAATATATAATAATTAAAATAAAAACTTTGTTTTGTTAAAGAGCATTATATTAAAGGGCCACGATGACCGTGCATTACAGTAAGTCTTACTATAATCTGTCTCGTTCGTTTTAATCTAACAATACAAGGAAGGAATCACTTGCTGCTCTTGACTGAACTGCTTTTGTAGCTTTAACAATCAGTTTATTTGTAATGAACACACTACTTTTTACATTTGATTATTTTTCTTACTTGAATGTTTCTTTTTAGATGTACATTTAAGTAATGCAATCTTTGTTCTTATTTTTAATTTTTATGTGTGAGGGAGTGACAATGGCCATGAATATTGAGAGATTCACAGCTCAGAGACAAAGGGATGACTCCACTCTTGCTGTTGATGTTCTTCGTTTTCTTGTTGTTTTGGGATGTATACAGCATGCAAGGTTTTCTCCATTTTCAGTGTATCTGTGTGGCAGAATTACAGCGCCACATACTGGTCTGGCATGTAAACTACACCGTTTTGAGTCAGTTTCAGTGGTTTCGTGTGTACGTAGATATTTCTAGAAACGACGCCGTGTATACAGAATGATTTGTTAGAACGAGGAGAAAAAACATGTGGATGAGCCCTTATATACAGCTAACTGGTCAAAGGATCTGGTCTTTACATTCATCCAAACAAGCTTAACTGATGAGCAAGAAGGTTTTTATTTTCTTACAACTGGGATGTTAAAGAGGAAGCTATGTATCTTGAGATATCTGTAGAAGTCTTAGGGAGTGAGAATTCAGTTATGAGATATTCAAATGTTTTGAGTGTCTCTCCTTCTAATAGTTGATGGATGTATTTTGTTTTGTTTTCTTCAGGGTCCAGTTTCTAAAGCTAGAGTCTATTGTCAAGAGATGTTAACAAAGAAAGCCACTTGGCAGACTGTAAACCTTTCACACTTCTCTCTATGCCAAGTAAGTCATCTCTGACCATTTTCCCAATTTGTACTTTCTTTGCTTTACTTCATTAAATGGGAGAGCTGCTAATGAGTGTGGATTGGAGTTAAACTTTTCCATTTCTAACCACCTAGTCCCACTATCATCTAGATGCTATCCAATAGCTCTTCAAATTGGGAAGTTCCCATCCTAATGTTTTATATCAAACCCTGGGGCGCTGACCTTGCCAGATCAACTTATCTAGCCGAGTGAACATCAATACTGGAAAAGAGTCTGGAAAAAGAATACAAACTGTGGTAGTATATTGATTCTAACCCTTTCTATTCTGCCAGATAATGAACGAGGTAATATCCTTAAATCTACGTTCATTTTATATATTAGCCTTACATCAGTAACTTTGTATAATTTATTTAAGTCTAGGGGTATAATAGGGCCCAAATACTTAATCCCCTCTTATGGCGCAGATGTTATTTGTTACCAGTGTTGGGGTAACGCATTACAAGTAATGTGAGTTACGTAATCAGATTACTTTTTTTCAAGCAACTAGTAAAGTAACGCATTACTTTTTAATTTACAAGTGAATATCTGAGTTACTTTTTCAAATAAGTAATGCAAGTTACTTTTTGACTGACAGCTCTGGTGTTGCCATGGTTCTAAAAAAAACATGAATATGCATTAATTCATCTCACTCACAAAACAAAAACACACACAGATTCAGTATTCCTCAAAATGAATAAAAATAAAAAGTTGATCACAAAAAAAAATGAATAAAAATAATGCAACTCAGAATATGACGCAAACCTGCAATAATTAAATGTTAAACAACACAAATATCCTTTATGTATTTAATCCCATTCTATTAAGCAATGTCTTTGCTTCTGACCTTCGATGATCCAGTTTTTTAAGCAAAAATTACTCTAGACAAACATTTGTGTAGAGAATATCTGAGTTACTTTTTCAAATAAGTAACGCAAGTTACTTTTTGATTGACAGCTCTGGTGTTGCCATGGTTCTAAAAAAAACATGAATATGCATTAATTCATCTCACTCACAAAACAAAAACACACAGATTCAGTATTCCTCAAAATGAATAAAAATAAAAAGTTGATCACAAAAAAAATGAATAAAAATAATGCAACTGAGAATATGACGCAAACCTGCAATAATTAAATGTTAAACAACACAAATATCCTTTATGTACAGATTCAGTATTCCTCAAAATGAATAAAAATAAAAAGTTGATCACAAAAAAAAATGAATAAAAATAATGCAACTCAGAATATGACGCAAACCTGCAATAATTAAATGTTAAACAACACAAATATCCTTTATGTATTTAATCCCATTCTATTAAGCAATGTCTTTGCTTCTGACCTTCGATGATCCAGTTTTTTAAGCAAAAATTACTCTAGACAAACATTTGTGTCTTTTTTTATTGTTGAAGTGTGTTCAAATGTCTTCTTCTGCATTCTACTTTACGGACGTACATTTACTTTCCCTTCAGCCTGAGGCTTATTTCACTTTTGGTGTGAAAAGGCTTTTATATTTGCCAAAAATATAACTTTTTTATTTTAAAAACAAACAAGCAAGCCCTGTCCAGATTTAAAAAGTAACGCAACGCATTACTTTCCATAAAAAGTAACTAAGTAATGTAATTAGTTACTTTTTAATGGAGTAACTCAATATTGTAATGCATTACTTTTAAAAGTAACTTTCCCCAACACTGTTTGTTACTTGTAGTCAGTGAGTTGTACAGCAAGTTGTACCTACAAAAAGAGACCGCAGTACCAACAGCTACTAAGAGAAGATGGAGTGGTCATGTTAAAAGTACGTTAAACGTTAAATGCGTTTTTATAAGAACTGCATCATTAAAACAAACGTAATCTTCCAGGTTCCACCAGTTGTAAGACCACCAACACCCAGAGAGGCACATCTTCTCAGCGAACATGGCATTAATGTTCACCAGTGTGCATTTTATGCATTAATGGAAACAGATTTCACTCAGAAACAAGCACAACACTATCTAGAAGAATAAATCATGCCGTTCTTACAGAAAACGAGGCAGTGGCACTGGTTAGGTCATTTGTTGACGTAGAGCTTTATCATTCCAGTTAGCACGGCCAGATTTAGCAAGGTTAAAGACAGACAAACAGGGACCGTTTACTGATTCGGAGACTGTGAACAATTGCATGCTAGCAGTCGCACAAGAGATTGTAATAAAACCAGAAACAACATAATTGCCTCTATTCAGAAAATTACAATGTCTGCCACGTCAACTAGACGAAGAGTTGAAATACTGAAATGTAACAATGTATCAAAGTTAAACAGTTATAAACAAAAGAAGTTTCAGAGCTCTGCATTACAGTTACAGTGCTGTGCAAATATGTTGATTATTGACACTTGCTTTGAATTTTTTGCACAATGTTCATTGCTCTTGCAACGTTAAACTGCAACCGTTTTTTTTTTTAATATGACTTAAAAAAGAAAAGAGTTTTAAGTAAATATCATTCAAAGGCTAAATACTGGATACAACGAGTGTGCATGTTTTTTTTAATATATGACCTGTAACAAAAACAACATAGAAGTTAAGGCAATAATATATAATAGGTTTTAAGAGTATGGTAAAAGTTTGGCCTGCATCATATTTACATTTTTAATATCTGGCCCTCAAAGAAGAGTAGTTGAAGACCCCTGCTCTATGTATAAAGTATGTATTCTACAACAATACAGTACATCAAATCTATTCTATAAAATGAAAGTGCTATTGAATCTACAGCTTTGCTAAAAGAACTCAGTTGTGTTTAGATATTCTGCAGTCAATGAAATACAGTATTATTTTTGGAAACACTTTAGATTAGGGAACACAATCACTATTAACAAAGTTTTCCCTCAATAAACTCCTAATTGGCTGCGTATTAATAGTAAGTAAGGTAGCTGTTGTTTAGATGGGTTTAGAATATGGTCATGCAGAATAAGGCATAAGTACTAATAAACAGCCAATATGCTAGAAATATGCATGCTAATGTAAAGTGGTATAATTTGGTTAGTAAATTATATAAGGAGTTACAGATGTTTTAAAGAACACTGTTTACAATTGTTCAGTATGTGAATTTCTATTATTTATTTTTTTTACGCGTTAACAAGACTTTTATGTTGGTCTGGTAATGTAACGTCTCAGACACCCAGGAGCAGCCCGTTCAACATATCCATGTGTGGGAAGATGACCCCTGAAAAAACAGCGGCTGTCACTAAATTTACAGTGAAAGGTTTATTGCCCTTCACTACGCTGGAGTCAAGCTGGTTCTGGTATAGCTAGCATTCCATTAATCACTAAGCGCTAGTATAACGCCTGATTCAGACAGAGTGTAGACTTTAACTCTTCACGGTGGGTGTGTCTGAAGCTGCACGACCGTCAACAGCCAATCACACTGCTTCCGGCTTGGGATTGGACTAGACTCTGAGGCACGTGATTTGATTGGCTAGCGCCTGTGCTGGTAAACTGGATTTGATTGGGCTGGTGCTCTCGTTGCCGCTTCAAAAGTTAAACATGTCTTAACACGAGTAATACGATGCTCATTTTCAGACCACTCATTTGCGTACTAACATGGTGGACAGCTGTTAATCACCCTTTTAGATCTACTAACTGTACTACTGTATAAGGTCAATACTGACTCCATATTGAATTGGTCAAGTGTTTAACAAATAGTAGAGCGTTCTTGTGTAAACTTCCAATTCCACGTTAAAAATAGCCCCCTGGAAACCAGACATTACTGAGACTGCAACGCATACCGAATCCATGAGAAACTTGAACCGTTTCACAACAGGTTTCAGGAGTGTTTCCTCATGTGGCAGTTAAAGTTAGCTTTACTTCTGAAACTGCTGCCACACTGAACACAAACGAACGGCTTCTCTCCGGTGTGAACTCTCATGTGAGTGGAAAGATTTCCTTTCTGTGTGAAGCTCTTTCCGCACCGAGGGCAGGTGTGAGGCTTCTCTCCGCTGTGCACTCTCGTGTGGCTCTTCAGGTCTTCTCTGCGAATGAAGCGTCTCCCACACACTCTGCAGGAGTACGGCTTCTCTCCGCTGTGAATTCTCAAGTGGATTTCAAGGCTTCTTTTCTCAGTGAAGCGATGTCCACACTGTTGGCAGGAGTACGGGGTCTCTCCAGTGTGGACTTTCATATGAAGCGTAAGGCTTACTTTCTGAGTGAAGCTCTTTCCACACTGCTGGCAGGTGAAAGGTTTCTCTCCGGTGTGGATTCTCGTGTGGACTTTAAGGTTTTCTTTTTGCTTGAAGCTCTTTCCACACTGTTGGCAGGTGAAGCTTGTCTTTTGGGCCCTCTTCTGAGAAGAAACCTCATTTTGGGACTTTTCAGTCTGTGAGCAAATAAAAGGTTTTTCTCCAGTTATGAAATCAGGATGTTCCTCATACTGAGTTTTCTCTTCCATTTCATGCAGCATCAGGTCTAAGATGAAAAATACAAATAAAAGTTAACCTGAGTTTAAAGGCACAAAGCCAATGACATCAAAAAAATATCAAAAATAAATAAAAACATACCGGAAACACTGTCCTGCACAGCTTAGCTAAACCCCTAATTAACTCTCTTCCCTGTCAGATTTTTATTATTTTTATTATTATTTTTTCCCACCAAAATGTTCACCGAATGTCCATGGCCCCAGAATAATCTGTTGTGTGAATGTACACTACCGCTCAAAAGTTTGGGATCTGACAGATTTTTTATGTTTTTTAAAGAAGTTTCTTATGCTCATCAAAGTTGCATTTTTTATTGCAATATTATAGCAATTTAAAATAACAGTTTCTATTTCAAACTGTAATGTATTTCTGTGATGTGCAGCTGTATTTTCAGCATCATTACTGCAGTCTTCAGTGTCACATGATCTTCAGAAATCAGTATAATATAGTAATTATTATCAGTGCTGGAAACTGTTGCTGCTTCATATTTTTTTGGAACCAGTGATACTTTTTTCAGGATTCTTTGATGAATAAAACGTAAAAAGAACAGCATTAAAAAAAAAGAAATCTTTTGTAATACCGTTCAAATATTTGGGGTCAGTACATTTTTTCTTTCTTTTCTTTTAAGGAATTAATAATTGTTTTTCAGCAAGGATGTATATATATATAGAGGGAGCGAAATGAGACGCTTCTTCTCTTTCACTCATCTGAGGATAAACTGACTCGCAGACAATAGCGTTCCTCGTGGTTAGATACAGAATTACATTGTTACGTCCAATAATAATTTAGCATTTCACATAGCTTGGAAACGTTAGAAAACTGAATTTAGCACTTATTTAAACACCTGCAATGTTTTGAAACACAAACCTTTCTTCAGCAGAGCCACAACAGACGCACGAGCGCGGCGGCGCAGCCTTATGATGTCACATCACCAGACCAAAATAAAAGTCCTGTTCTTCAACTTAAGTTTTGTCTCTCAATCTGCTTCTTTCCTCTTCGTTCCTAATACAGTTCTGTATTATATGCTCAGCATGTTCTTTAATGCCTCCTATCACTGTTCCTTTTCCCCAGGACGAGCATATAGTGTTTAATCCTGTATGCTTTAGCCTGAGTCTTGATATGATGGTTCCTTCTATTTTATTTTTTTAGATTTTTTCATGACTGACTTTTGTATTTTGCGATAGCGTCTTATTTAGCGTCTTCCTCCACATTTTCTGCCTTATTTCTATTCCTTTCTTCTTAATTAGAGTTGTTCCTTCTCAAAGTAAAAGAACCAAGGAGGAATGTTACTAACTGAGGTTGTTTTGATGAACTTTAACTTTAATGCTTTCATATTAAATATAGACTAATTCTAAAGGGTGTCATTTAATTATTTTAAATAGATAACGTTTATTTCTTCAAAACAAAATCACATAGTTCAAGGTTATAAATATAAATTATAAATTGTATGTTCTGAATTTTCTGAGGGTAAAGTGGACCCTTTTTTTGGTGGTTTCGAGCCCTATTTTGCACCCTCTCTATGAAATGTCACACTAAAACTGTTGCCATCTATGTAACAAATGTGGAGGTTTTTTGTTTGTTTGTTTGTTTTTTTGAAGAAACCAAGTTTTCACCATCTTGGAATAAACTGATTATAGAAGGTAGCTTAATATGAAAAGTGTGATTTCTGCATAAGTCATGTGAATTAATAAATCTTTAAACTCAGACATTTTTATAATGAATACACATTTTTATAGTCAGCCCTAAAACATTTGATCGTGTATATATAACACACACACACACACACACACACACACACAAAGTAAAACAAGTAGATAGAATAGAAAAATATTAAAAAAAAAAAAAATTAAATAAAAAAAAGAAGATGAATGTAGATAAAGTAGAATTAAATTAGAATAGAAAGTGTTAGAGTTAGAGGGTCAAATAAAGGTGGAACAGATGTGTTTTTAGTCGTTTCTTGAAGATGGTTAAGGACTCCACATGTTGTGGAAAGAAGGTTTACTACTAAAATTGGGAAAAATTGGAATTGAAGGAAGAATTTATAACTGGGTTTTAAGTTTTTTATTAGATAGAACAATTCAGGTTCGGGTGGGAAATGAATTGTCACAGATAGTGAGTGTGGAGAATGGGACACCTCAAGGGAGTGTGATAAGCCCTTTATTATTTAACATTATGATTAATGATGTATTTGAAGAAGTGCCTCCAGGAATTAATACGGCTTTATATGCTGATGATGGAATAATGTGGAAAAGAGGAAGAAATGTATCTTTTAATTTGGATAGAATTCAAGAAGCAATAGAGATAGTAGAAAGGTGGTCTTTAGAATGGGGGTTCAAATTTTCATTATCCAAAACATATTACCAGATATTTACCAGGAGGAAAATTAAAGGAAATAAGCAGCTTAAACTTTATGGGTCTGCATTAGAAATCTCTTTATCTCACATATTAAATGAGGATAAACAGTAAATAGCCAAAACAAAACAAGTATTTTGTGTAAAATTAAGCCCGATATCTACTTCTGAATTACAAATAATGGAAATCATTTTCTATCACTTAATTTTGCAACTGTATCTACAAACTTGCAAAAATGTGAATGTGAGAGATTTGTTGTCTATTAAAGCAATAAGCCCCAAGAAGCCGTGGTTTGTTGTCATCCTCACAATCACTTTATTAATTCAGGGTCTTGTAAACATTACTTTCTCTCCAGACGCGAATAACTCTGATTAAAACACATTTACTCCTCAAAGTCCTAACTTTTAAAAGGAAATGAGACTGTAAAACAATTTCTCCTTTTGAGAAGGAAATGTAATTAATGCTGTTTTTGTTTGTCACATTTTCCTGTGATGCACATGGAAGCTGACAATATTCAAAACCTCCATGTGATAGTCACTTTGTTTCATCAACACAATACCTCCATCTCTATCTGAGGGTTTAACTGTCACATCTGTTTCCTTAGTCACTGATTTCAATGCTTCACGTTCTGTTTTTGTGATGTTTGATCTATGCTTAATATTATGCTCAAAGTTGATCTGCATCTCTCTCTACCAAACGACAGAACGTATTAATAGATGCATTCGCCACAGTTGGACAAAATGTACTCTTAGGTTTAAATATACTCTTATATCTGGATACATCGTTTACTTCCCCATCAAGAGGCAATGCAGTTCTCTCCTTATGATAGAAATATTTCCACTTGATCTGATGAAAAAATGTAAACAGTTCTACCTTCGTTTGGAATAGATCCGGAGTTGGTGTGGGAACGAAAGAAAGACCGGTATAAATTGTTCGCGATATCAATTATATAGCGTACGGCAGATATACGTTCCCTAGCGCGCACAACAACAATGCCACAAACCCAATAGGTGTGTTCGACTTGAAGCAGCGCTGCGCAGACTGATCGGTGTATGACATCAAAGTATCGCGAGAGCGGCTCTAGAGCATATTCGAGCGCACGCTCTTACAGTCGAAAATAGGCGAGACGCCTATCTTTAGCGAAGTGCCGCGGCACGGCTGGTGTAAACGCAAGCATTGACTAACGTTAGCTCTGGTGTCTGCGTCGGAGCCGCAACGCGCCGCAGACGTGTGCAGTGTAAATAAAGGGTAAGTCACTCTCGCGGTATTTTGATGTCATACACCGATTGGTCTGCTTCAAGTCGAACACACAGCTGCTGCTGCCATCTTATGACAATAGACTTACACGTCGAATTAGGTAGTCGGTCATCGATGACAGTAGCTCATTGGAGAAGGATGGAAAATGCCCTTCATTTTGTTTGCACTAATAAATGATGCTGCCTGCCAGCTGCTATCACCAATAAAACGTTGTTCCATGTTTTTTTCTATATCGTCATCGCAAATATTCTTGAAATATCGTGATATAATTTTGAGGCTATATCGCCTACCCTTACATTGGATGTTGACTTCTGGAATCCATAGATGTTCCCTGGCCTAAAAAAATCTCAATCAGAGTCTGATGGAAAGTCACATGTTTTTGAACGTTTCGTTTTGTTGCCATGTTGAAAACAAAATTGCTTCTGATGTGTTCAACCATTGGATTCAAGCCAAGGATAAACAGTCTCTTTCTTGTAATCCAACAGTGTTCAATTTTGAATTTTTTGAGTTTGATCTTTTGCAATTCTTGTTGGTATTTATCTAAGCTGGATTTCAGTTTTTCTTCCATGTCCTTCAAATCAAAGATCCACGCTACATAAACCTTGTCATATAAACTGGAATAAATACGAAACTAGAGTCAAACTAAAACTGAAATGAGACGTTAGTAATAAATAGTATAATGAATAAATGAAATAATCATAACAAGGTGCATTAAAAGTCATTAAATCTTTGATTAATATGAATATTTTAATGTCTCCACGTACTATTCAATAAAATAGAATACGTGTCTCCACGTACTATTCAATAAAATTCTAGTGCATTTCATCTATTAAATAACAGCAGAGTGTGTGAGTTTTTGGCTATGGTAAGATTAAACTTATTTTAGTGAATAAAGTACCACATTTCAGCTATCATTTTGTTATGGTGGCTACACAAAATGATATTTTATCCTTGCTTCTAGAAAATCCTCAAACTATATGCTTTCTAACAGCTTCATGTGGCCGTAAACATTTAAATTTAACGTGGCTTTAAAGGGTTACTCCACCCCAAAATGAAAACCTGTAAGACCTCCGTTCGTCTTCGAAACACAAATTAAGATATTTTTGATGTAATCTGAGGGTGCTTTCACACCTGTAGATCAATTGCTTTGTTCCGAAACGGGGTAAACTGTCCTCTCATTGGTCAAAGTTCCACGGTTTATTTTCAGGAATTCCACTCGTGGCGGTCATCGGTCACGATGGAAAACAACAGCTTCGAGGGCATATTGTTGGGTTTTTTGTAGCCGTCATTATATTAATTTATCATTTTGAGCAGGAGTCCAGGATTCGTCTGGAAAACATTGTTAAAATGCACCTACTACGAAGAGCAATAAAATGGCATTATAAAATGAAAAGGCGTGCTTTGATTTTAAATGGCGAAGACGTGCTCACCCACAGACATATCGTCTACTGCTTTTCACGGAACTTACGTAATTACCCATTATATATTGTGATATAGCCTGGTTCGTTGGTCCGTTGGATCGGATTGCTTTGTCACTACAACCGAACCGCTCCAGAGTTCGTTTTCAATCGAGCCGAGACCACCTCGTTCAGGCGATCGCGGACACGTGCTCACCCACAGACATATCGTCTACTGCTTTTCACGGAACTTACGTAATTACCCATTATATATTGTGATATAGCCTGGTTCGTTGGTCCGTTGGATCGGATTGCTTTCTCACTACAACCGGACCGCTCCAGAGTTTGTTTTGAATCGAGCCGAGACCACCTCGTTCAGGCGATCTCGGACAGATTGTTTTGGCACGGATCCGAGCGCGATTGCCGTGTTCACATATGCCCAAACGAACCGAGCTAAGGAGGGAAACGTGCCAGGTTCTGAAACAACGGGCCAGGTGTGAAAGCACCCTGAGAGCTCTCTGACCCTCCCATAGACAGCAATGGAATTACCATGATCAACGTCCAGAAGCGTAGCAAGGAGATCGGTAAAATACTCCATGTGACAAAATGGCGCTAATTGAAGAAAAGTTTGTTTTTCAAGGCACTTTGACTTTTCTTACTTCATACACAAAAAAGTGTAAAATTCAGACAAAATTTGATTTATGATTTGATATTTTATAATAGTGATTTTATAATTTCAAAATCTAGAGAAAAAGTAGAAATGAATAACTAAGGCAATAAGTGCTCCTCTGCTGCCGTCTACTGGTTATAGTTGTGATTTGATGTATTTTTAAAATTTGACATAAGTGTTTGTTTACCACAAAGTATATTTTGGTCATCCCATTAAAAATAACATTCAAACTGGATCATTTTAGAGATTTAAAGTGCTGGAAATAGTTGTGTGAAATGCTTGAAAGTCATTGAAAAGTGCTTGAATTTCTCTCTCAAAAGATTGTACAAAACCTGGAATGAATGATGTAATGCATTCGACTATTTCTACCACAACACCATGGTTACAGTTAGCGTTACCACTTCTGGTTTCCTGATGTATGTCAGCGCTGTTTATAACAGAGAATTCTGTGCAGAATTTGAATGATTCTCAATAGATCTTGCAGCAACCTTATCATTGTGCGGTGAATTCAAATGCTTCTCACTGGATCTCGCAGAACCACTGACCTTATTTAAGGGATTTAACCAAAATCCCATTCAAAAAATCCATTGACTCTGGGACGATGGAACCGGAAGTGCTAAAATGCTAACTCGCTTCTGGGTTTTTGCCTATAAAGTGACATCATACTTCCACCACTCTATAAGAGCTCGCTCAAGTACTGAGTACTAAGTACTAATGGCTCAAACCATTCAGGGCTTTTTAAGTTATTAGCGAGATTTTAAAATGTATACAGTGTGTAATAGGGAGTCAGTGCAGTGATAAGCCTCGGGTCCTCCGGTCTCCAGCTTCACCCAGTCAAGATGATCCCATGACTCTGCCTCCAGCTTCTGCGCCCATTAGGAGTGTAGAATTAGGGGGACGCTACGGACATGTCCCTACCCATATCCAGCGACTACCAAATTGTCCCAAGCAATAATTTTGATCAAACAATTTAATATATGTTTGTGTAATTTAGGACGCATCTGAAATATGTCATAGCATTGATATTGCCTAAGAAGCTAAAGTAAATGCGTTACAAAACTGCTCGCTTTCAAGGACCCACATTTAATACATGGTATGAAGTAAGAGTAAGAACGTAAGGTAGTCGCACACCGAACTATATTTTCCGGGATTTGTGATATCACAAATATCGACGAATGGGATGAGACCTGGTTCAGCTGCACTAGAGAAGGCAACAAGTGTTATCACTATGTCGGAGACACGCTAGCTTTCCCAAGGCAGACAAACTTCGAGTGGTTACAATCATCTGGGTTTAAATCGCGCTTGAATTGATTTGATTTTGATGCAATATTTACACTGAAGCTCGCAAGCGGCTATGGTAAGGGAAGTGACATTTCCCGACCAGGCGCCGAGTGCTGCTAATCACAGCACACATTGGCCCAGCTAACCGATCACAACACACACTGGCCCAGCTAACCGATCACAGCACATTTCGTATTTCAGAAGGAACTATTTGAGCCGTTCATGCTAGACTGGGGAGAGAGTTGTTGTAATAATGTAAAATATGTGAAAAATAATTTTTTTAGAACAACCTAGTATGAGAGCCTGTTCTAGTACACCCCCAAAACAAAATCAGGACTTTGTAAAAAAAGCATAATAGGACCCGTTTAATAGCTCTATATATAGCTATCTATATAAAACATACAGACAGAAAGACAAACGCTGTGCTGAAAGATGCAAAATACACAATCTTCCATCATGTGAGTGATGCTCTGTGGCGTGGCAGGATTTGGAACCGTCTTTAAATTTAACTTAATAGCCTATGTTGTTAAACTGAATGTACAAAGCAAACTAGCTGGAAATATCCACAAATTAAAAAACAACACTGAAATAAGAGCGTGCGGTTTATCTGTCAATCAGATGCGCGTTAAAGTTGTGTTTGTTACTACAGCAACAGTGGAGTTCTCTTTCAGAATCATCCTGGGTCCAATTTGACTAATATTAAAATAAAGTGCTGTATGATTAAGACAACCAGTTTATGGATTATGAATACGTTGGCTACCATAAGCTATACATAAAGACTTTAGATGACATGAAACTGCGGTTTAAGGTCTATCATGTGGGGGGCTCTGCTGTTATGTCCCCAATAATGTCAAAAGCAAACCTACACCCTTGGCCTGTCTGCTCCGTCTTGGCTCCCTCATCCCTCTGCTCCACCTTGGTCAGACATCACCCGGCCTGTGTCATAGAGTTATGGGTATCTCCACCCTCCCTCTGGCTCTCTCTTGGTCCTCCGTCACAACAACTCTGCCTCAGTCCTCTGGCACTCTGTCTCCACCTCAGATGCTTGTTGCGGTGACTCTGCCTTGTTTGCCAAAGCAACTAGTGTTGTTCAATTCCATCAGCTCTGTCTGCACCCTAGTCCCATCTGCCGTCAGCCAAGTCTCCACCATGGCTCCTTCCTTTTTCACCTCCCCTGTGGGCTGTCTTCCTGGCTGCTCTCTGAGTCACCACCTGGCTCCTCTTGCTCCTGGATCCTCCCACTTTCATCACCACCTTGGCTTCTCCTGCCATCAGTGTCACTAGTCTCCAGCACTTTGCTGAGCCCTTGTCCTCCTCCAGAGCCACTGCCTTTCCTCCTCAGTTGGATGTGCCTTCCTGGAGGGGGGTGTAACATCATATCAGTGTTAGTTTAATTTTCTTAGTTTGCTTGTCTTCAGTTACCTGCTTCTTTGTTCTAATTTCCCACCACTGATCTGTTGTCATGGATGTTAATTAAACAAGCACAGCTGTCTGTCGGCGCCGATAGCCTCATGAGCAGCATGCCGACATGTTTAGTGTTGGGCGATAGAGAAGCTATCAACATTGTTTGATGAATAAATCTCTTACCTCTTATTTACACTGCACACGTCTGCGGCGCATTACGTCTCCGAAACAGCCACCGGAGCTGATCGCAGCCACTTTAAGCAATGCCTGTGCTTATACCAGCCGCACCGCGCACATTTCTGAAGCATCCCAGAAGTGTCTCTCCATGGTGCTTCGCTAAAGACTAGCGCCTAGCCCTAGTCTATTTTTGACTGATTATGATAATCATCTTGCTATCGTCACAGGCATCAGCAACAGGTGATATCTCTGACTATCGTCGATACACGATACTATCGGCACAGCCCTAGTGCTGTTGCGCTTTGGGCATCCTAAGTGCGAGTCTTGCCTCGTGGATCTTTCCCAATCCTGTCCCCTTCTTTCTGTCCCACGTCTCTTCCTTTCCTTTTTAAACTCTCAAAAAAAACTCTGAAAATGTTTATATCTAACATGCTGTTTCACAACCTTGTGTTTTGGTTTTAAGAGTACAGGTTAAACCTGTTGTAGTTGGTTAGAGGATATAGGATCTAGCATACATGTTGTTGGATTTGATGGTTTACATTTTTCATGTCTGTTGCTTTGTACAAATAAACTGGTTAACTTGTTTTTGTTTCTTTTCACCTTAGAGGAGAGTCAAGAACTGAATGAAATGGAAGAGAAAGATCAGTATGAGAAATGCCATGATTTCATGACTGGGGAAAAATCTTTGAGTGACTCGCAGACTCATGAAACAGAAACTAGGAACCTTAAAGTCCAGATGAAAGTTCACACTAAAGAGAAGCCTCATGCTTGCCAACAGTGTGGGAAGAGTTTTGCACTAAAAGGAAGTCTTAACATTCACATGAGAGTTCACACTGGAGAGAGACCTTTCACCTGCCCTCAGTGTGGGAAACGTTTTGCACTAAAAGGAGATCTTAAAAGTCACTTGAGAATTCACACTGGAGAGAGGCCTTACTCCTGTCAACAGTGTGGGAGGAGCTTTGCACTAAAAGGAAGTCTTAACATTCACATGAGAGTTCACACTGGAGAGAGACCTTTCACCTGCCCTCAGTGTGGGAAAAGTTTTGCAGTAAAAGGAGATCTTAAAAGTCACTTGAGAGTTCACACTGGAGAGAGACCTTTCACCTGCCCTCAGTGTGGGAAAAGTTTTGCAGTAAAAGGAGATCTTAAAAGTCACTTGAGAGTTCACACTGGAGAGAGACCTTTCACCTGCCCTCAGTGTGGGAAAAGTTTTGCACTAAAAGGAAATCTGAATTGCCACATGAGAGTTCACATGAAAAAGAGTTTCACCTGCCAACAGTGTGGAAAAGGTTTCAGTGAAGAACAGAGCCTTGAAATCCACTTAAAAATCCATGCTGGAGAGAAACCATTCAATTGCCCTCAGTGTGGAAAGAGTTTTGAACAGAAAAAAAACCTTAATGTCCACATGAGAACTCACACTGGAGAGAAACGTTTAGATGTCACTGACAGAAATCACCTTAAGAATCATGTACAACATCACATTGTAGAGAAGCCTCACACATGCCCTCACTGTGAAAAGAGTTTCACACAAAGTACAAAGCTGGAGGAGCACATAAGAATTCACACTGGAGAGAAACCTTTCACCTGCCCTCAGTGTGGAAAGAGTTTTAAACAGAAAAAAAACCTTAATGTCCACATGAAAACTCACACTGGAGAGAAGCGTTTCGGCTGCAAACTGTGTGAGAAGAGCTTCACACGAAAAGAAACTTTTAAGGGTCACATGGCAATTCACAAGGGAGAGAATCCTTTTGATTGTGGTCAGTGTGGAAAGAGTTTCAGATATAAAAGAAACCTTAAGCATCACATGAGGATTCACTCTGGAGAGAAAAGTTTCACTGACGGAAATCACCTTCAGAATCCTGTACAACATCACATTGTAGAGAAGCCTCACACATGCCCTCACTGTGAAAAGAGTTTCACACAAAGAGTAAAGATGGAAGAGCACATAAGAATTCACACTGGAGAGAAACCTTTCACCTGCCCTCAGTGTGGAAAGAGCTTTACAAGTAAAGGATACCTTAGGATTCACATTAGAGCTCACACTGGAGAGAAGCCTTACAAGTGTCCCCAGTGTGAAAAGAGTTTCACGTATCACACAGACCTGAAACGGCATTTGCAAACTCACTCTGTAAAGATAATTCTGATTTCCACAGTGTGACGAGAGGTTTAGAAAAAGGAGGCAATAGGAAATGTTTATCTTTTAGAAAACAATGTTACTTTCTCACACCACAGCTGAAAGTGAGCTTCATCTGATTTAACTTTTTGACTACTTTTTTTTCAATCTGTATTTTTTATTTTATTTTATACTTTACCTTTTTATTCTTCACCTGACCATCTTCTTTGCTATAGTTTCAAATATTAAGCAGACACCCTTTAATTTAGACCAGGGGACGGCAACCAATAGAGAAAACTGCATACCAATGTTCATTTTGAGGTCCTCTGCACAATCTGACTTTGCTGCAGACTGGAATTGAACTGCAGGTTTGTCTGGCCAGAGGAGAACTGGCCCCCGACTGAGCCTGGTTTCTCCCAAGGTTTTTTCTTCATTCTGTCACCGATGGAGTTTTGGTTCCTCTGGCTTGCTTCGTTGGGGACACTTAATTTCCAGTGATATCGACGACTTGATTGCACAGATACTGTTTAAACTGAACTGAGCGGGACGAAGACATCACTGAATTAAATAATGAAATGACTTTAACTGAAAATTGAGTGTTTACTTTTGTCCTTTTGCATTGCTACACACTATTTTACCTATTTAATACTGTAAAGATGTTTTGACACAATCTGTATTATAGCATTTGGACCAATCCAACACACAATTGTTCATTAAATTTAACAAATCAATTATTCATTAGATTAACAAATAATCACAGACCCCTCACCCAATAAACGTACTGAGTGCCAGGATGTCAGTGAAGGACCCCAGGCCCCTGGTTACCATGGCAACCAGGACACCTCAGCCAGATCAGATAAACTTTACGACCTAAAAGTATGTAGAGAGAATCTTCCTCCTACTCGATTCTCTCTTAAACGACACATACTGCTATAGGAAACGACTTCTTTCATTAATTCATAGACACATTTGATGATCTAAATGAGTGTATATTATATGTTGGTACATATGCAACGTATTATGTTCTAAGAATCTTTAATAGTTTGTATATCAACATCCAATCCAGTTACATATGCAAATTACCATGTTCGGAGACAAAGAGTCGTAAACTTTCCCTCCAGAAGTGCAAGTCACCATTGGCTCTTTGACCCCCGAGAGGTGTGACCTCAACAGAACTTAAAAGGCCTCACTTCAGTGGCCCACCTAGCTTTTAGTCTCTTCACTCGTCTCTCATCACCTTCTCGTCTTCTGAGGACTAAGTCCCAGAGCTGGCACAACCGCGCCTGGCAGGCCTTGACACACAGACTTTTAGCTTCTTTTAGATTCTGAGAAGATGAGGATGTGAGCTAGAACTCTCCTGGAACCCTTAAGTGTGCCAGGCTTCGGCCTTGACTTTGCATTCACCAAAGATCCTCGGATATCAGCAGATGTCTCTCTTAGCTCTTCTTCACTTCCTACCTGGGAAGAAACTCCCAATCACCATCAAGTCAGAACATCTTTGGAATTCATCACTCTTCAAACCCAGAAGAACGTGATCGCAAGTCCAAAACCTTGAAACCATCAAGACTTTCATCCGAGACTGCATCCGGACGTTCGTCAATGACCAAGGCAATGCAAGTATCGTACATTTAATTAAACGAAACAGAGGTTTAGTATAAGCTGTAGCCCCCGTTATAAACGGCTCTTTTCATAACTTCATTCTCTGGTTTTCCTGATGGTTTCATCCATCAAGCCCCATTTGCCCTTTCCCCTGTATGAGTGATTGTATGTTTGTTTTAGATTAGTTATGTGTGTTAGCGTTTAGTTAATAAAACGTTTGTGCACAAATTACATGAGTCTCTGGTCCTGCTTGTGAATAATGTCCCTTTACGATTTTGATTCTAGCTGCATGCTCTAATGCATTAATACTGTAGGAAGGTATTTTCTGTGGCCACTAAAATATCCTTAGAGTAGATATGAACTTACACTGAATATTCGCTGGACGAACAGATTAGTTGATGGCAATTTAATTCTGCTACAGTTACTATGCAGCTGATATAAATAATTGTAATTAATCGATATAATAATTTCTCTATAGAGCTAATTTGCTACAGTATTGTTAAAAGCGCTATATAAATAAAGGTGACTTGACTTGTCACACAGCCTGTTAGGAGTTATAAATAGTATTAAAAGTGTGAGAATTAACCTGTGCTAGTCTACAGATGTGTGTCGCTAACAACACTCGTCAATGTCAAAAATAATTCAGATGGCCAATCAAATTAAAGTAGCCAGTGTTTTCTGTTCACAGAAGCAGAGCGCAAAGTGTAAGTTTAACCTTGAAAAAGAGTGATGTAAAATGGAAATTTCCAAAATGCAAACCATTTAATATTAGTTAAAAATGAAAATTCTGTCATTAATTACTCACCCTCATGTCGTTCCAAACCCACAAGTTCATCTTTAGAACACAAATTAAGATATTTTTGATGAAATCTGAGAGCTCTCTGACCCGCCATAGACACAGCAACACGACTGTAATGTTCCCAGGTCCAGAAACGTAGCAAGGAGATCAGTAAAATAGTCCATGTGACATCAGGGGTTCAACCGTGATTTTACGAAGCTACGAGAATACTTTTTGTGCAGAAAGAAAACTAAAACTAAAAATAACTAGCTTTATTGTCTTTCAATAAGCACATATAGGGTAAGTAAATGAAGTAAACATCTGGTATGGCAATAAAGGTTCAGATAGGGATTTAAAAAAAAAACGGCTTTATTCAACAATTCTTCTCCTCATCCCGTCTCCACAAGATACACATCCTCTTTCAACACAATTTCTGCAAAATTTCCAAGATACAGTGTTGTAAAATCTCTTGGTATTCCATATCCTAAAATCTTTTTAAACTCTAACAAGACCATGTTCCAAAAAGGTAGTATTTTTGCACAACACAAGAATATATGAAGCTGGTCAACATCGATCTGACCACACATCCTCCAGCATAGTTGTGATTTGGATAATTGTTTACTTTTACCACCAGATTTTTCCATGCAAACTCTTTCCACCTCCGTGAACAGGTAATTGAATGTTGTGCCTTACAAGCAGAATGCCATTTTTCATTGCTCGACTAATTTAAACTACACCTCAAGTGTGGTAAATGTTATTTGATCTAGGTTATTTTTTAGGGCCAATGATTTTTCTTTGTCACCTAAAAGACACTGTATAGGCAAACCCTGGTTTGCATGTTCTACATTTTTCCATTTAGTATAACATGCAGCAAACACAAGACCTAATTTGTGCTGTGTATAAATATTCCAGTAGATTTGGCAAGGCTAGTCCTCCTTTGTGTTTTGTTAGCTGCAATGTTGTATATTTTATTTGAGTTTTTTTCCCTTCCCAGACAAATCTTAAAATTGTCCAGTCCCAAGCCCTGAACTGAATTCCATAGGTAGAGTTGACCATCTCTCAATATCTCTTTAAATGTTTTTATTAATGATATTATAATTTTTACAGTAGAGTTCTGATTGTTTTTTAGTCAGAATTACCCCAAGATATTTAATATTTTTAGCATCCTATTTTAGGTTATAGGTTTGCCTGATTGATTGTGAAGGGGAAAAAATTCAATGTTAGAATGTTAGAAAAAACACATTTTTGAAACATTTATTTTATATCTAGATAACTTCCAATACTCTAACAGTAGGTTCACAAATACAGGGAGAGAAGTCCTTGGCTCCCGAAGATAGATAATTACATCATCAGCAAGCAACCCAATTACATGATGTTCTTCTCCGATTCTCAACACTGACTGTATTTAATGCCTGTTGTTTATTTGATAGCCGAGCTAAGTACAAAGTATCTTTGTACTTTTGGGGCCAGACTCATAATAAGACTGCTTCATTTTTAGACAGGCCCCAAAAATGAAATTTTATACATGTTATAATAAATGATCTGTGGGGTATTTTGAGCTGAAACTTCACAAACACATTCTGGGGACACCCAAGACCATGAAGTTTTGATGAACTTGTAGGTTCCTTTCAGAGTATTTGTTGCCAGCACTTTGCCAAGTCATGCAGCTTTGTAGCCGTTCATCCTGAGGAATCCGTTGTGGGATCCGTTGTGCTTACACGTCTTTCTCCGCTTCGTCAGGGGTATTATAAGTCAGTGTCTCATCACTCCAATGGATACATATTTTCGTGAAGGGGGTCTGAAACCGTATCTTCTCTTCTTTCAGTACTTTCTTTATGCCATTGTATCCTTTATGTTTTTGCATTGTTTCTATCGTGTAGTCATGGTCGAACGAAATGGGTCGGCTCTGCATCTGTATCCGCTTTTGCCAAGCCAGATTCTGAACAGTCTCTTTAACAGCGAACAGAAGGAAATTAACAAAGATAGATCGTGGAGGCGAATTAGGATTTGGCTTTGGGAGCAAGGCTATGTGTGCGCGTTGGATTTGGAGATCAATGTCAAGTCTTACTTCATTCTTGAGGAGCGAATCCACGAACTGAGCGACTGAACTTCTTCCTCCGCGCCCTCCTGTATTCCGTAGATTCAAATGTTTCTGCGTGATCTCAATTCAGTGTTGGTCAGTTTCTCTTGCACTTCTCGGTTCTTTCAGAGTGTTTTCATCAGAGCAGCGTTCGTCTCGATAGACCATGTCTCCAGCTGTTCGATGCGTTTTTCTGCCTCGGTAAGCCTGCCTTGTTGTTTTTGAATTTCGCTAGTATTATTATCAAAGTATTATTAAAGTACTAGTTTGTACGGCAGTTTCTAAAACGTCCATTTTCCGCTAACATTTGAGTGCTGTTGAGCGGATTCTCAAACACCGCTGATTGGCCATAGTGTTCACCCTCTCAACAGATACGACTGATTGGCTTCAATGATCATCGCTTCACGCTCTTCACCGAGCACTCACACAGAAGCACACGGGAGCATTTGAAAGCCGCGTCTATCAGCGCGGATCCGTCTATGTGCAGATATATTAGGGATCTGTTGATAGATGTGGTTTTCAAATGCTCCCGTGTGCTTCTATGGCCAATCAGCGGTGTTTAAGAATCCGCTCAACAGCGCTCAAATGTTAGCGGGAATTGGACGTTTTTAAAATTGAAGTACCAACTGGTACCGAAGTCGGTACTTTTGACAACACTACTGTTTACATGATGCGGAAGCAGACGCATACACATACTTTCTCCACAATGGCGGCGCACCGCTGCAGACGGTATGAGGAGAAGAATTGGTGAATTAAGTCATTATTTTTGTTTTCTTTGCGCACAAAATGTATTCTCATAGTGAACCCCTGATGTCACATGGACTAGATTGGTTATGGGAAACTAGAACTAAGAAAGTAGATAACTGAAGACAAACTAACCTCATGAAAATGAAACTAACACTGACAGAACATATTACACCCCCCT